AATCATCAGACAGGACATATTAGCATAAATATTTGACTTAAGTGTTTGTTGATGTGCCCTTCCTCACAATAGCTGAAATTAAGAGCTTAGGTTTGATCAGTGAGCAGGGCTGAGTTGAAATCTAGGGATTTCCTGAGCTGTGATAATTACTGTACGGACAATCACTGGCAGAAGGGAACTTAACAGCCTGGTGTGGTTGAATTAGAGACGGTAGTAGAGCCACGAAGACACAGAAGACTTGCCTTCCAAATTCAAGGGCAGCTGAAATGAAGTCCAAATGAGGTGAAAACCAGCACTGGCTGGAAAGAAATTCAGGCCTTGTAGCTTTAATTAGAGCCATAGTGGTGTGTGCCCTATGAAGGACCCCAAATTCAGTTTTGAGATTGCGCCAGAGCTCTGCTCCATCCTTGACCTTCTTCCTTTCCACCATACCTGGTTCTGTCCCAGCTGGTGAGAAAACAGTGTTGAGATAGTTCCTCTCAAAGACTTACTGAACATACTGGAGCCTCTCAGAGATGCTTGGCAGAGCATCTATCATGGAATCAAGGAGAATAGCTAATGTGAGCCTAGAAGGCATAATTAACAATGCAAGGGATTTAGGCCCGTGGGCCTAAGGATGACCCCAGCTGTCAATGAGACCTAACAATGCAGGTGACAGGTCTGGTGATGCAGAGCTTGTCTTTCAGGACATTGTCTAACCTGATAGTCCAACACCTCACAGTCCTACATACATTTATCTTTGTAACAGACCAACTAGGGCCAAGTTTTAGATTATAAGCAGGCAAGATGGTCAGAGGTACTTGGGAGGCTTCAGTACACCTGTTTTGAACCTAAGATGGATGCAGACATCACTCATGGAATCCAGATACTATTGGGAAGAAGGATTTGGAGTGCCCATTGTGCAGGGTACCGTCCTCTTCTAGCTGTGCATTTTTTCTAGTGGGTGCACGGCCACCTGATGGGTTGGTTTGGCTCACTAATCTGTCTGAAAACTAGTGGTCTTTGATCTTTTTTTTATACATTGAAGGGCTGCACAAATGCTGGCTTTGGTGTAATGGAAAGGAGATCAGAACAACCTCCCTGTACTGCCCTGCAGTCACAGGGTGACTTAACCACCCATGAAAACACAGCTTGGAAAAGCTGTCATTTGTGTGTCCAAGTGCATCCAGAAAGTCCAACCGGTAGAGAGGCTTGAACCCAGTTTCTGGGTGAGCAGCCCATAACCTGTGGCCCCTCTGTGTTTCTCCATTGGCTGAGAGACCCCCATGTGATGTCAGATGCTTCTGCCAGTCCCTTGCCCATCTCTGGACCATTTCATAGAATCATAGAATCATAGAATCATAGAATCAAATGGGTTGGAAAAGACCTCCAAGATCATCAAGTCCAACCCTTGATCCAACACCGCTGTGGTTACTAGACCATGGCACTAAGTGCCACATCCAGTCCCATCTTAAAAACCTCCAGGGACGGTGAATCCACCCTGGGCAGCCCATTCCAATGTCTGATTACTCTCTCTGTAAAAAATTTCTTCCTAATATCTAACCTAAACCTCCCCTGGCAGAGCGTAAGACTGTGCCCTCTTGTTCTTTATCTTTAATCCCCTCTGAAATCAAGGGGCAGCTTGATTGCACCAAAATGCATCACCACATGCCGCTTGGTATCACCATGCTACCAACATCATTGTTAGTAAAAATCCACCAGGTCTAATGTGCCAGGCTCCCATCAAAAGGGGCTCTGGGAGGAAGATGCTATGTGTTTCCTTTAACCTACAATAAAGCAAAGCAGTTCAAAGAGTTGGAAAAGGAGGTTAACAATCTCTTTGAAATGTAGGTTCAAATTCCCAGCACAGCCCCAGTCAATTATCAGCAAGCGCCGTGACACATCTACCGCTAACAAGGAAGAGGAGGGAGGGAAGCCTGTGGTGCAGAGGTCCCGATGGGCAGCGATAGGGGTTAAAGGACATCACCACGGTGGTGGGAAAGTTTCTAGGGGCAAAACTTAGGTGTTTTTTTTCAGGCTGATTCAATCCCCTGCTGTGCACCCAGAGTGAAGGCTGGGCCACTGGAGTGAATGGAGCTGGGAGGGAGGCAGCACATTCCCCTGCTTGAACCCCCTTGCAGCTGGCAGGGCTTTTTTGAGGGATGTGCAGGCACAGCAGCACAGCGGGCTGCTGCTTTCTCAGGGGTGTTCCTCTGTGGCAGCATGAACCACTTTTATTTTAATCCCATTAATGAAAGGCAGTGCAGGGGTGGGGATGGGGCAGGAGGGGGGAGGGTTTGTTTTGGCGCTGAGGATGGGTGCACACAGGCATACAAATGCTGGGAGACAAAGGCTGTGATTAAGGGCTGGTACTCCAACTCCCTGCTTATTACAGGAAAGGATTTATCTGATGGCCTAGTTTCAGCTCCAGTTTTCCACCTTTTAATCAGGTTCCCAGGTCTGCTTGTCCACTCATAAAGGGAAGGAAGAGGAAATCTCGGGGTGATGGAGCAGGAATAATGCTCTATAAACATGCATGGGGCAGAGGGTTTTGCTGCCCCAAACTTTCCCAGGAGGCAGACTCCTGGGCAGGCAGAAGGATTATGCCCAGCCATGCAGCATTATTTTCTGGCATAGCAAGAGGGCATCCATGCTTTTCTGCCTGACCAAGCCAGGGTTGTGTGAAACAAACGTGCTGGAAATAAAAACCTTCTGCAAAATGGAAAATGTACAGAGAAGCAGCTATTTTTAAAAGGGACGGCACCTACTGCTGCTATGAAGTCAGTCACACAATCAGTCAGCAAGGGACTTCTGTGGGCTGACAGCTGACAGCCAGGACAAACAGCTCCAGCAGACTGATGAGAAGAAAACGAGTTTTTGGCTTCTAGGAGATGCATGTTTTCTAATGAAGAGAAGAATTTCTGTCCTGTGCTGCCCTGGGCACAAGGCAGATGGGGGGAAGTGAACCTCAGTGTCTTTCCCAACGTGCTGGAAAGAGGAGTGAGGTGCCGCTAACTCTCCAGGAGACAATACTGCAAGCAAATGCCAGCTCAGCCACCTCTTGCCCCTCCCTAACCCAGCCCGTCCTTATTGCCCACCCTTTGCTGAGGTTTTCCTGCTTCTAAAAATGTTCAGCCTCTAATTAAAATGCCTATCTTGCTTGCCAGGGCAAACGTATCCGGCCACAGAGCTGAGTTGGTTCTGGAGACAGCCAAAACTTGCAGCTAACCAACCTGGCTGGCTTTCCTGGCATGGCTGGCTTTCCTGGCATGGGTGGCTGGTTGATGTCTGACACCAGGTGTCCATCACACCATTTTATCAAGCTGACAGCAGCTTCAGGAAGCTGGCATGAGGGCCTCCTCAGCTTATCCAACCCTGAAGCCACCACATGCCTTTCCTCTTCTGTGGCGTCATTAGTGCTGTTTCAGATGTTCACACCCCGTTGGTGAAGAGGGAACACATATAGGCAATGTGGGGGTTCATGTTGCTGAGGGAGGCTCGCATGCTTCTTCTCATTCAAAGGACTTTGGAAAGGGTATTTAATTAAGAAATAACAACTGAAATAATGTTTTAATTAACAACAATTAAAATAATATTTTAATTAACAATAATAGAAATAATTAATTAACTAATTTATTAAATAACTAATAAAAATCACTAGCAAAATAAGATGTTAAGGCAAGGCCCCAAAGAAGTACTGGGAGAGACAAGGAGCATCATATATGGGGCATTCACAACGAGGTGGGAAAATACAGCTTCAGACCCATGGGTCTGAGGACAGTGTCCCTCCCCAGGAGAGGAAGACACTCTGACTGGGCTCTGACTGAGCCCACACCCCAGGGCAGAATGGATTCCATTCAAAAGGGGGGTGGTAGTGTACCCTAATGGTCACAGCCTTATGGTGAACAGCAGAGGAGCTGTCATCTCTAATGGTTGGTGGTGGCTTTTCCCTACAGTCCATAATAGTTCTGTGAGCAATATCTGGCCTCTTCTGGTGATTTCACCCCCCAGCTTATAGTCCGACTGTACCTTATGTGTCATCCTGGAGGACAGTGCAGTTTGGGGAAGCAGATGAAGAACTAACAGCTTCTTCCAGGCAGCCTGCAGCTCTGCCTGCCTGGCTGGAAGATGCAGTTCTTCCTTCAGGCTTGGAAGGAACAGGAACGCTGCAGCTATCCAGAGGCAGTTTACTCAGCGAGTCTCTGCTTGCACCACTTTTATACACAGTATCAAGAAGTGCTTAAAATTAAATTTGCTATTTAAGAGCAGGAAGACCCCTCCGGAGAGGTTTCTATTTATTCTTTAGGTACAATGGCTTTGCATGCCTTTAGCCCTCCGTGCAGCAGCCCCCACTCCTCAGAGAGCGCTGCTGAGATTGGATCATGTGTATCTCACTGCTGAAAGCTCTGCAGTCTGGCAGTCTGCTGCTTCCTGTGCCATGGTATTGCTTCTGCACCACTTTGCTCCCTTCCACACCCACAGAATCATAGAACCCCTAAGCTTGGAAAAGACCTCTAAGATCATGGAGTCCAACCATTAATGCAACACTGCCAAGTCCACCAGTAAACCATGTCCCCTAAAAAACATCCACATGTTTTTTAACACTTCCAGGGACATGTGTGTGACCTCTCCCCACATCATCCATGCTACAAATCCAGCCTTTCTACACTAGCAGACCATGTCCCAAATTGGCCAAATCCACGAAGAGATCTCCACTATTTCTTACAACCATTGGAGCAGATCCTGGAGCAGGGAATTTGTGTGACATACTCTTGTGCTGCTTCATTGCCATGTGTTCCTAATTTCCTTCAAGTCAGCCAGTGAAGGTCTCAAGCCTTTCTGCCAGTGAAGAGCATGGTGAGCCAAACACAGTGGGACAAATCCTGCCCCCAGTTTGGAGATGCAAAACCCATGACAGTGATGGGGATAAGCAAAGCAGGGAGATAAGCTGTGCTGCACTTCAGACTCAGCGACAGCTGTCACCCTCCCAGTACTAAAGCAATAAATCTAGGCGATCTGGGTTTATTCTCCTCCAAACCACTTTATTATATTGTGAGTAATCACAAAGTCTTACAATGCTGCAGAAGTTCTTTAAAAAAACCAAACTTACACAGCGACAGTATTTGCCAGCTTTGGCCAAGACTAGTTTAGCTAGCAGCTAGCGTGAGATTATACAAGGAAATCTTGCAGTCTTCAATTGGATTGTCACATTGAGTTTTAAATTTACCACAGCACTGCAAAGACAGTAACTTTGACAGTAGGTGATACCCCTAATGTTTCATCTATGTACAGACTTAAAAAATTAAACAATATTCTTTTTTTAAAAAAATACATTTTCTGCCAGCAGAAAAGAATTATCTTAAAAAGGCAAGATCAACTAAAAAAACCCACTTCTTTCATCACAAACTGCCCCCATCTTGCAGTGCAGTTGGTTGCTGTTCCCTTCCAGATCTCTGCCAATAAGCAGTCCTATTGCCTTTTTAAGAAAATCAATGTGTTTTCTGTGATTGTGAATGCTGGTTGAGCATAGCTAAGGCTCAGTAGAGGGGCAAAAGCCCCAACACTGAAGGAAGGGGTAAAAATCCCACCCTAAGGTCTCCAAACAAATTATTGAAATGGACATAGATGGAAATGTGAGAGACAGATTTCAGTATCCAAAGTGAGGCATTGACTCTGACTTTTGTGGAGTCAGTGGGTTTCAACCATCCCTGAAGTCAGCTGCTTTGAGCAACAGGGTTTCCATTTGCAAAGACCACTGGGCGTGTGAGGATGAAACCTGAGCTTCTTCCAACGCTCCAAAGGATAGTTGTGAGATGGGTTTATATCTGCATCATCTTTACATCCATCTCCCTATATCAGTTTCAAACACTGATGCAAGGCTGGGTTTACAGATCAAACTACAGGTCAGTTTGAGCAGGACCCCATTCACGACATCCCTTCCCGTCCCCCAGGACAGAGCGTGCCAGATGTGGACCAGACCTCAGCAGACACATCCATTGCTCCTATAAGCAAGTCAAAGGCTTCACGCATGGCATTAGTCATGCTGAGCTGCCTTCTCCCACTTTTTCCTAGCCTGGAGGAGAAGAAGGTCCACAGGGACTCCCCTTTTCTTTGCCAGCATTTCAACAGTGGAGTAAAAAATGATCAAATCTTTGAGGACCAGGATTTTTATCAGATTTCGGTTGTCAGCCAAGTAGTTGTGTGAGAGAAAGAAAAGCCACAACTCTGGAAAAAAACCCCGAGATATTTTCTCTGATAAGCAAAGTGCTCCACGGTCACCGACATCAGTGCTAATTCTTCCCCTGCCACATTCTCAAGAGCGTTTTGATGCTGGAAGTTGCCTCACATATGCCCAGATGAGTAGAAGATGTTGTGTTCAGATAGGGAATGTCAGCATGGAAACAACTTACTCTCACATCCTCTAGGTCTGCATCTTGGTTTGATAAGGTCGTTAAGACAAGAATCCTTGTCAAAGTTTCCTTCCTTCCAAGCTTTCCCAGAAAGGGAGGAGGGATTTTTTTCTTTTTCTTTCTTTTCTCCTAAGATAGGCTACCTGATCTCTTCCTTTTGCAACCTCCTTCATCGAAGGCTGGTTCCTGGATGAGATATGGCTGTTGGTAGACCCCTCTGCTTCCCTTTCTCTGCTGCACATAATTTCTGAGCAATGGCTTGCTGAGGTTAAAAAGACAGGAGGTTGCCAAAGCTGGACCTATTTCAATTAGACATGAAAAGGATAAGGATGGAAAAACAGGGAGAAAGTCGTGGGAAAAGTTCTTGACTTAGTTTTTGTTGCACACCTATGCAAATAACATGTAAAACCCAGCACATTAGGAGCACCCTGTGTTCAGCTTTGTCTGGAAATGTTTCTTCAAGACTGAAAGTGCATGACAAAGAACAGGGTGCTAATGAGGGCAACATCCAGAAGGCACATTTTGGGGAGTAATAATTAAAAAAAGGATAATGCATGGGTTTGTAAGTAAGCAGCTACAGAGTTGGTACATTTTGGTGTGTGCTTTGGAGAGATGTAGCTTTGCTCCTACAAACATGTCTGAGGCATGAAGGTTTGCTCTAGACTGATTGTTCTACTCTGGGACATGCAGAGCAGCTTGGCCCATGTTGTCCAGTATCACTGCTCTTGGCCAACATGATGAGTGCAGGACCAAAACGCACCAGGTAAAGTTTGGAGCCTGCAGATAACGTGGGCCAAGATTTGAGAGTTTATAAAATCTACAAACAATCAACTATTGGCATATACAAATATATAAATTATTGACAGTTTTACAAAAGGCACACTGCAAGCCATCTCAGTCCGATACCTATACAAATCCCATGGCCCCTCACCCTCCCTGTCCCACCCCTTCTTCTCCTCAGCTTTCATCATGAAACATAAGGTGCTGCTGCTATGGACCCATGGCTGTCGTGGCAACTGAGGACTTCTTTTTTGGTCAGCCCAATTTGTCGGTGGTACTGTCCTTCTTTGATGGTCTTAAGACACTGTATGTTCTTCCCCAAGGTGATGCTTTTGATGGAAGGCAGATATTTCAGCACAGTCTTTGGCAAGGATGACACACCTGTCCCAGAGAGGTTGAGCTCTTGTAGGGAGTTCAGACCAAAGATAACTTCAGCAGTCAGTGAACTCAAGTTGGGATTGTTGGATAAATCCAGAACTTGAAGGGCTGAGAGTTCCTTGAAGCTATGAGGAGATAACTCTTGAAAGCCACGCAGGCCACTGAGGGATAAATGAATCAAATCTTTCAGCCCTGTGAAGTCTCCTTTCTCAACCTTAACTAGAGGGTTCCCATCAAGATTTAAATATCGGAGAGGAATGCCTTGAAGGTTTGGCACAAATGTTAGCCTGTTTCCAGAAAGATTTAAATTCTGGATGTTAGGGATGCTCTTTTTATGGTGCCTTGTAATTGTGCTGAGCATATTATTGGATAGATCCACATTCAGGGATTTTCCTTGACCTTTTGATGCAAAAATATCCATAGCTATATCCAAGAGCTTGTTATTGCTCAAATCTATGTCGCCTAGAGGAGAACTGGAGAAACAGTCTTCAGGAAGGACTTCCAAAGAGTTATGACTCAGATCCAAGGACTCCAGATACCGAAGCCTGGAGAAGGTTGTGGAGGAAATCTTGGCAATTTTGTTGTAGCTCAGGTCAAGACTCACCAGTGTGGTGTATCCAGGGCCCATAAGCATTGATTCATTTATTGTTTCCAGCTTGTTTGATGATAGATCCAAGTAGGAGGTATCCAGAGGTATTGGGACAGGAACAATATGTGAGCCTATTCCACTGCAGTCCACCTTGGTCAAGCTAAAGCTGTCAAAGAGACCAAAGGTTTCCACTTCACAGTGGCAGCCGGGGAAGCAGGTTTTGGTCATACCAAAACAAGGAAGGAGAAGCAGCAAATTGAACCAGGCCAGGAACTGCATTGTACCTGGAAAATAAGACAATAAGAAAACAGATTAATTGCTGTAGAAATTACTTTATGGAAGATGTGTAACTCTTTGAGCTATGCATTCTTCTCCTCTCTCTTTCCAAAGGGATAGGTTAAGAATACCCTTAAATAGCATGGATATCCCAAACACTCCACTGGGAACTTAATGGAGAAAACAAATTGGGTCAATAGTCTTTGCCCATATAACCAAGTTAAGACAGAAGTGGAAATGAGCTGCAAGAACAGTAGGCTGCCTTAAAGCACAATCTATCCAACTTGCATCCTTTTGACTGGACCATGGAAGAAGCTAAATGACAGCTCAAACACTGAGTCATTTTACAACCTGGAAAACTTCAGCACACAAAGGTCTTCATGTCAGAGCATCCCTGTGAGATTTGGGAGCACCGAATTCTAGACCCTGAATTGAGGGTTGGAGAAATCATTTAGACTGTGGGAGTCTTAGGTGTCCAAAAGCCTTATCAGAAGAGGAAAAAGCAAAGTTCCAGTCAAATTTTCTGTAGGGAACAGAGATAATGCAATCATCAAAACAACATCCGGGATGAACAGCTAAAAAGGCCACCTGCTTACTGCCCAAATGGACACAATGTCTCCCTTGGTTAGACTTCAGATGTAAATTTAGAAGTTTTTAGGTAGGTACGATTGTGGCTTTCTATTAGGTGGCTAAAAACAACCCTCCTTGGGCTGGTGGCAGTAGGACAGACAACAGCCCCTTGACTCCTTGCCTAGCAGAGCAGAGGAACCAAGGGTTGCTCAGTATAACCCAGACTTTGCTGTGGTGGGCCCAGCCTCCTGCACAGTGGAGAGAGACAATTTGCTTCATATAGAGCCTCTGGGGAGCCTTTGCTAACTACAATAAATACTCTCTTTGATTAACAATGCCAGCAAGCAAGAAGCTCTCTCCACCCCTCTGGTTTTGACCCTCCTCCATCCAAAACATTTCTGTCCCTCCACCATCACAGACAATGGAGGCAGAGAGCTGATCTGCACCTTCCCCGGCTCTGCTGGACATCTTCAGACCCCATCCTAACAGCTCCTTCACACAACTGTGGGCAACAGCAGCTGTATGATTTCAAAAGACAGCCAAAAAAGCTTTAGCTCTGCATTTCTGGAGAAGGTAAATTGGAGCATGCCAGCATCCTGAAGGTCAGCAGTGGCAGCAAGGACTGTCCTCACTGGTTCCCATTGCAGTCATGGGTGATGACTCCTCACACCTTACAAACAAGGTCTCCAGGAGACTAGCAACAAAAAATCCCACCAAACCAGGTGAGCAGATCCATCAGCACCAGTCCTTGGCTATGCTGCTGGCCATAAACAGACAGTCATGTGTCAAGCACTTATTTAACAAGTATAAAAAAGCCCCTTTAAATGCATGTTCCCATCATTACTTCAGCCTCCCTGGTCTCTATTCTCACCTTTCCCACCACTCTTTAAAAGCACTTCATTAACTTCCTTGCAGTATCATCTTTCCCACACACTCTTTGATCTGGCTGAGGCACCTTCCCCATAGCCCTTGCATGTTCCCAAGACCATTTCCTAGAAATTCACACTTCATCTTCCCTCACCCACCCCTTGGCATCAGTTTCTCTCCCTCTTCAGCGTGATCTTCTTGGCTCTCATTCCCAGGAGACTGATTGGGGACTACTTGCCAATATGCAAAAGAAATGCAAAGGGGAAAAAATACTGCAGAAATATTGTCCTGATCACTGATATGAGTTGTCTGGCAGCGTCTCCCAGATCTCCTGCAAATAGAGAGCAGAGATTGGGACTCTGGCCAAATTGCCTGCAACCAAACCACTGCTAAAGGCCAGCATGTAATCCTCTGGAGTCCATTATTCTATAGAAACAACAGAAAATCTGTAAGATGAGCCCTAGTCTCAGCCCATCTCAAGTGTTTCTTGAGAAAACACATATGTGTGCAGAGGGGACACAGCGGGTAGAGCTCTTTTCTGCAGACATGTTTCCAGATATCCCTTTCCTAACGATATCAAGGTTGATCCCCTCTGGTTCTGCACAGAGATATAGCTTGCTCCCTTCTGCAGTCCCTCCTAGAACAAATACTACTCTTTTTCTTTTTTCATGAAGCTGCATTTGGAGTGCATTGAAATGTTTTGTTACCAGGGAAAGTTACAGCAGTGGGGAGCTCCTTGTAAACTAAAACTGCAAAAACTCAAATGTTAAATGCCTCACGGGAAGTACCTTCATTAGTGTCAGCTCATCCTACTGGTATTTCTTCTCCCAAATTTCACCCAGTGGCTATTCCTGCTTGATGTCTCAACATGGAAAGTACCTCCCAGCTTCTTCAAAAGCCCAGCTCAGTTCCTCGTGGCATTGTTTTAGCTCTGATGGGAGCTGGATCACATACCAGCAAGTCCAAAGACAGAGCAGTGTGATATTTGACTTTCCAAGCACTGCTAAGGCCTTCATAGTCTCCTACTGGGGCATTTAAAGAAAGAGGACAATCTCCAAAGTCCTAGCTTAACTGGGAACAGACTTTTTAATAGAGCCTGTAGTGATAGGACAAGGGGCGCTGGTTTTAAACTAGAACAGGGATGACTCAGACTAGATGTAAGGAAGAAATCTTTTTTGATGAGTGTGGTAAAAAACTGGCACTGGTTGCCCAGAGGGGTGATAGATGCACCATTCCTGCAAACATTCTAGGCCAGGTTGGATGGGGCTTTGAGCAACCTGATCTAGTTGAAGATGTCCATGCATATTGTGGGGGAGGTGGAGTGGATGGCCTTTAAATGGTCCCTTCCAAACCAAACTATTCTATGATTCTATGAACCAAGACAAGAATCAAAACCAGTGCTGGGCTTTGATACGCGGCTGCTCAAACCCCTTTTGACATGGGAATTCCCTTCCTGATCAGCCTCAAAAATGATTGCCAGAAGTAGGCAGATACAGTGACTCCCACTGCAACATTCATCACTCCAGCCAGCAGCAAAGACAAAACCTTACACAGCTGAAATGCAATACACAAAGCTCAGCTGAGGTATTTGCACAGCATATATTGCCTCTTCCCTCCTCACAGCATTTCCACAAATTCTCCCTTTCTGGCTCTGCAATTGCTTTGCAGATGGGATACAATCCATTACTAGCAGCTAAAAAATTCCCTTATGGAGCAGTATGAAGCATTCATAGGCTAACATGCCACTTGGTTAATAGCACTGATGAAAGATAGGAGAAAGAGTTACTGGTCATCTTCCAATCCAAGAAAGAGACTCCTGCATTGCCAGATAATCAACAAAGACCTTAGTCAGGTACAGGCATGCTTTATCACTGTGTGGAGCAATCGATAGCTCTCTTTGAAATGGGGAAAGAAACATGCCCCAGGCATTTACAGTTCATCTGTGTACAGTGTGCATTTGAAACTGCATCAAATTGCCTTTGGATTGCTGCCTACCAGCTGCTTTGTTGATAAAGGCAGGAAGCCAAGGTATCCCCTCGTAAAAGGAAGAGGAGTTATCGTCTTGCAGCACCGGGGAACTTCATCTGGAGGAAACACCACGGGCCAGAAACCACCAGCAGCATCACCTGGGATAGTGAGGGGAAAGTCACTGGGACAAAGCAGCCCACCCTGGGGCTGGTTCAGTGATGACATCTTCATTTCTATGGCTGTTGAGGTGTGCAGAGATCCCAGTGATAAGTTTTGGCCATCTAACAGGTCTAGGAGACTTGTTAAACCCACTGATTTCAATAGAAGCTGCTGGGGGTGCAACATCGCCCTCCATGTTTCCGGTGCCCATAGTGGCTGCAGGGCTCTCATCTTTATAACTTGCTCATCCTTTCTGCATGGCAAATGCTCTGAGACAACCTCAAGACCCCAGTGGTGGTTAATGGAGCCAATGCTGGATCAAGTTCCTAGCAGGGTTCTAGCCTTCTCCCCAATACCACATCTCTCCCTGAGCCTGCAGATGCCCTGATATCTTGTCGCTGCTATGCTGATCCACTGCAACATTGTGTGGCAGGACCCATACAGAAAACTCACACTGAGATTTCCGTGCCAAAAAGCCCCCAATATTAAAATCTGATTTTAAAACCAGACTGCAGAGGAATCCCAGGTCTTAGCTGATGGTGGAGAAAGGTGGAAGAGAGGAAAGCCTTGTTCTTTGTGTTGTTGGAAATTCATGTTTCTCATTACACTTGACTTCCTCCTTCTCCTCTCCCTTAAAGACTTTTCTCATTAGGGAGATGAGCTACCACCTCCCTCCCTGGATGAAAACCCATTGCTTGGGGACTGGTCCCCCTCATTGGGATTGCAGATACTTGGGCTATCTCCAGTTGCCCTGGCAACCACCAAGCTGGAATTCCCTATAGCCAAAATTCAAGGAATAATTAAAAAATTATACAAGGGGAAGTGTTTTAAAGTTTGTTGTTTGATGGTGTCGGGACACAGTTGCCTCATTCTTCATTCTGCACCCCTCAGCCTCCCTGAACATGCGCCTCAGCAAAGTGTCGCAGCTGGAATTGGGGCTGAAGACCCAAAATCAGCCAATGAAGCTTGAGGTACATGAGTAAGAAGTGCAAAAACACCAAGTTGTCTCTACAGTGGGGCAAAGAGAAAGGAATTGCTCTAGAAGGGGATGAAACCTACCTAAGACCAGACACATTCTTGTAGATACCCCCTCTCCCTTGTCCATGGCAGAATAGGATGCCCAGTCTCCCTCGTTACTGCTTCCCACCCCATTCTTGGCTGCACCTTCCAAACCCACGTTCCACACAATAACCAGGTGCACTGGGATGAACTAGATCAGCTCACTCATCCAGCAAAAAGCCCCTAAACTTCCTCTTTCCCCTCCGCTGTGTCAGTGTTTCAACAAATCAGGATGATCAGCCACAGGGTTACCAGCTGTGACACAGGAGTGGGAAAAACAGGATCTGTCTTTTCCACGGCGGCCTACAGTTAGAGCAGACCAGAAATGACATGAATCTATAAGGCATGGTGGACAGATCCTTGTAATTTCCAAGGTTTTTGCCAA